AACCCTTTAATTTGTTGTGCTTAATATTGTTTCTCTTTACTGCAAAAACTACCTTTTTTCAAAACTACCTGTTTTGCCTCTGCTAACATAGGAGTGTTGCTGCGAATGCTACTACAAAAGGCAGCAGGAAAGATGTCTTTTTCATTAACAGTTAGGCAACACCGGGGTTTAATGTTACAAATAGCATCAAGAAAACCCTCCTGACAAATGAGGCCAAGCATTCTGCCCAAGAACACTGGCAATACATGTACAAGATGAAAGATACAAACCACCCTGGTTACAGACTCTCCAAAGTTTCCCCACTAGATCGGACATCCACCACTCACACTGCTTCACCTTCACTGCTGGTGTGTCTGCTGAAAGGGATGTTCTCAGTGAAAAAGAGAACTTCATTTGAGGTGGGATATGGGAATACTAAGAAGAGTACTGCAAGTTTGCATTCAATAAAATATTCAATGCTTTCCTGAGCTTTGCTTTTTAACACATAGCAAGACACAGCACAACCAGAGATAACAACTGCAATTCCAGGTTGGCAAAAGAGAGCTATGCAAATGGCCCTTCACCTTTCCTCAGTCTCAGGCTTCTTCCACAGCCTAATGAAAACCCCATTTGGATCACAGCCTTTTCCCAGGGCAGAAAGCCCCTCTGCTCAGGGACAGGTATTAGCTGATATCCTCAAGCAACTAGTGGGAAAAAACCCTTTTCTTCAGAAGCCAGGGGGGGTCTCCCAATTGCTACTGAAATCTTTTCAAAGCAGCAGCTCGGCCCCAGCTCCATCCCAGAGGCAAACATCATGTATTTGTCATGTCTCAACTACTTTTCTGCTGTTCATACAGTGTAATTAATCACTTGGCAGGCAAACACAGGACTGAAAAGGCAGCTCATTTTCTGACATGCAGCAATCCTGTACCCTGCTAAGAGGCAGATTTACTCTCCAAGTTACAGGTGAGAGCAGCAAATAAATGGAAAGCAGCAACTCAATACAGCACCAATTAGTAAGAAACAAAACAGCCTTGTTTAAAACAAAGACCCTGCTATTATTGTATCTTACAACATGCTCTTCCACTGGGTTTGCACGTATGGCATTTGGTGATCAATTTCAGATGAAAAGGCAATTACTCACACGTAAATACATAGTCTGTCACTTCACAAGCAGCTACTCAAATAGGTCCCCTGCTACCTGGCAGCGAGAGGCTTCATCTGTCATTCAACCTTCTTTTCTGTTATCTCCCCGGGTGATCTAGATTCAGGCTCCCTTCAAATCTGAACACCCAAAACACACCAGGTGAAGAGCTGAAAATCCAGCTTATACTTAGATGCTCAGACAGAAGAGCACCTAGACCCAGGTCACTGCTTCTCAGGGCCTGCAATGCAAATCTTGGCCAGGGAGCTGCAGATGCAGCCAGCCTAAATCCTTCTGAGCCCTGTGGCTAGTGCTCGCAGCTGGATAGGTGTTTGGGAAGGCCCAGAGCCAGCCATTTGAAATGCTAAACCTAGGCACTTTGCTTTGTTCAAGCAGGCTGAATCTGGGTCTGGGTTTTCATACACATACTTCAGCTGTGGACTTCCTCTTGGTTCCTATCTCCAGAAGGCCATCAAAGGGCTCTGAAGAGCTACCAGATGCTTGCCACAAAGCAAATCCTGCATGCTGGACTAGGGAGACTTGCGTCTTCCTTCAAACTGGAGCCAAAACAAGAGTTGAGGCCATAGCAGGAAACACTGTGAAAGGAATTCAGGATTCATAAATTGGCTTCTGGCAAATTCAGAGCTTTTCTATTATCTCTCTATAGGCTGCAAGAGACAGAAATTATAAACAGCACTTGACTGAAGCAGTGCCTCAAATGCAGCACAATACAGACCTTAACCAGATCAGCACACTCTGAATTCACAGAGAAAGCAGGTCCTAGAGCTGAGATGCTCTACAGCTGCTAACTGCAATCCCATGCTCCTTAGTCTCTCTAGACCAGCTTTCTCTGATCTAAGAGAAAACATACCCTTGCAGCTTGAAGTCAGTGGGAAACTTCCCACTGATCTCAGAGTCCTGTAGTAACCAAGTGCTACTCTTTGCTTTCTGTGTATCACACTGTAACAGATTTGAGCTCAAAAGAATAGCTCTGCATCCACCCAAAATACCACTGACACAGCCTCTCATTAGAGACCATTAGAAACCTCCCATGGAATTGTCTTTGCATTTTAATTTGCATAAACAATAGGATTTTTTCCTCCTTTTTAGACATTACCAGTTTGCCAGCTTTTATTCTTGTTTACACTGAAGGACAATAAAAAATAAAAGCAGACCATTTAGAAAATGTCAAATGAAATGCCCCAAGCTCCTGGTACCAGGGGATTTTATGGATCAATTTAAATTAATTGCATCCAGTTGATTGCAGTTAAAGGCTGGAGGCTTGGCATGTTTTTCTTACCCATTTGACTCAACATACTTAAACAGCTGATTCAGTTCAGTACCTTACCATGGCTCCTGTCACTTCATCCCACTTCTTGGCATTCCCTTCACCTCTTTAGGTTTCTACATTTGGGCTTTGGAAAGCTACAATACAGGGATTGGGCACTGGGGAGGGGAAGTAAAAGTGAAAGCAGAGGACAGGGGAAATAACACGTGACAAGGATAAATCTCCTCTTCCTCTTCCTCTCCACATCACAGTATGAATACCGAGACAGCGGCAGCACAACAGTGAACCAGCTCAGTACCTGCCTTTGTGTTCCATCCCCTTGGGTGGAATCAAAAAGATGCATTCCCTTTAAAAATACCTCTTTGTGCCATCACAGCAGATGGATCCTGCTGCTGCCTGAGACTTGACTGCAACTGAGAACGAGAGAGACACATAAAAGACATACTGGGATGAAAATCAGATTAGACAGGCAACTACCATCCATGCCATTGGGAGCTACCTATAAACTTGACTACATCACCAGTAGTGATGATCACCAGGGATTCACACTCACTAAGGCCAGGGAGATGCAAGGAGAGCTCATATGTTTTTAATATGTGCTTCCTCGGGAACAGGGAACAAATGTCATCAATGGTAATAACTCAAACCCACTTGGGCCTCAGTTCTCCGTTTCATCACATTACAAACTCCAACTTTCTGCCATAGCAGCGGATCCTTAAAGCAAGTGCAGTGCTTGCTCACAGCCTTCTCGCAGTCTTTAACTGACATCTAGCGAACAGTTTCTAAACTGCACCTGAAAGACCTGGAGATTGTAGGGGAAACGATCCCTTCTGGAAGGCAGCTGGGCAGAGGAGCTCTGGGGTAAGCGTGTGGTGGACAACAATGTGCACCGTTTTCTGTCCTCTCCCCATCATGATAACTCATCTCCCTGTGGGCAGGTGGGGAAGAACCTGGTTCTGCTCAGAGGCTGTACAAATGCTGTGTTGGCCCAACCAAAGTGGGCTGGACATGACTGCAATGGTGCTGTTGCCCACTGCCTATACAGGGGGGCTGGTGGACATCACAAGTCCTACCAAGAATTGATCAGCAAGGCTTCCACCAAAGCCCTGCCACATCGACTCCTTCTGAACAGGGTCACCCTCTTGCCCCCCTTCCTCTTCCAGAGGCACAAATCCAGAACTCTTAACACTGCTATCAGGACTAGCAACTACAACTCACCTTCCCCCGGCTCTCCTGGTTGGTACGTGCCAGGAGTGGTACAGTTTGCAGTCACCTCACAGTTTGCCTTCAACCACTCTCTGCAGCACATCCTTGGGTGAAAGCAGATGTGAGGAATCCCTGAGGAACAAAGACCCAACGACCATGTTGCCTGCCTCCAAAAGACTGCCAGAACCTGCCTGCCGTGTCTGCATAGTAACAGGGGAACATCTAGTATCGGCAGAGGCTGCTTGCCGTTTTATAGCCTCTATCATCTTATTGCAAAACTGGGAGTTTGGTTTATGACATCTATTAAAGTAACCAAGCAACAGCATGGTGGGTAGCTATGTCATCAGTTACAACAAAAATAAGGTTTTAAAAACAAAGCAGGGTGATGGTGGTGCCAGCTTGCCACAGCCCAGGTACTGACACCAGCCTGTCATTTCCAGCAAGCAAAAGGAGCCAATTAACCCAGACAACTCTTCCTTATTAAGGAAGTGTATGACCAGATTCTGTGCTCCTGTTTGTAGTCATAGAGGGCTCCTTCCATCTTCTGCAGCGAGGAGAAGGAAATGTCTCTTTCTGTATGGACAGTGGAAACCATTTTGTGTAACACCATGAAGTGCTGCAACACCAGCATGCTTATCACATGTCTTTCCTCAATGCACAAGTATTGTTCTCACACTTCATCACCTTTCATCACTTGCTTTCCCTACTGATTTCAGGATCACTTGCAGTCTCATAACCGCACTGGCAGGCAATCTTTATCTGAACTGTACCTTTAACCTTAGGAATTTACATGGGTGGAGGTGATTAAAACCAAGTAAAATGAACGAGAAATAGATGCTTACAGGAAAACTTAACATTCTCCTGCTTGTTAGACTACACAGACACTGTCAAATTAAGGATATAGATGAAGAAAATATGGTTTGAAAATACCCTATTCCCAACAGTCAAAATACTATCAAGGTACCAAAGGTGCATTGCTTCTGCTTCCAAACAGCTGTTGCATCTTTGTTCGTTATCTGCAGAAGGTCTCTGAGGACTTGTTCACCTACAAAGTTTGACTGATTTAATTAGATACAAATCAGTGTTTTCCACACGTGTGGTGCCAGTGAGCCTGTATGCAACATCTCCCTTCACAGCCAAATGAATGCTGAGGCTTGTAAGAGGAATGCTATCCAAATCCTAAATACTCTCATAACAGCTGACAGCTACCCTGTGTTTAATGCAGCTTATACCAGTATACAGAAGGCTTGACAAGTCACGAACCTGGGAAGGAAGAGTCAATAGGCCAGGTACAACAGCAGCATTCACAATGACCCAGCTACACATCACACCAGAGGCTTCCTCAGGTTGCTTAACGTAAGACAGAATAAGTGCTTCTCTTACCTGGTAGTAGTAATCATCATAGTGTGGTTCGTAGTGTTGAGGCTCAGAGTTTTCAGAAGACAGGACATCTTTCAGTAACTCTTCACAGCCTGGCAAAGAGAAACGAGAGCAAATGGTCAGGTCTTCCTGGAGACTGTATGGACTTGCAGCCTTAGCATGAGCCGGTGTCTACTGCATATTAGTGTCTGTGAAGCTGCTTCAGATTTTCTCTGGTCTGAGTGACGAAGGGTCAATACCTAAGCGTTACAAATTCCTCTTCCAAAAGAGCTCTGTCACAGAGCGTACATCTCTGGCAAGCAAATATCTATGCACTGCAAGTGGAGATTTTCAGCCTCTGTTCGCTTTTGTTAACAACCACATTAACAGCTGGAGAAATCAATGTCTGTGCTTCCCTCAGTCTTTCTCTCAGAAACACTGAACTCACTGAATGAAACTCACTCTCAGAAACACTGAACTCACCAAATGCCTCATTCCCCATTAATTACCAGCAACCGCACTTGGCATATTGGGCTGCAGAAGGCAGTAATATCAGGCCAGGTTAGTTTAGAACAACCAGCTTACAGCCTGGAGCCTACACTGTGTGAAACCTTCTCAGCATGTGCTATACACTATCCTACTTGGAAGTTGCAACTATCCAGAAGTATTTCTCTTTTCCATTCCATCACCAATGCAATGGATTTGGCTGTGACATTACACACTGATACTCAGTCATGAGGCAGGTGAGCAGAGGAAATAGAGTAATGTAAGCAAGTGTGAACTACACAGGTTTATGCTGGTAGTTGATCTTCTCTCCTGGTTTTAAAATAAAGGCATAACATCTGTAGGGTGAAGATACCTTGTGGTTATGGAGCAAGTTCCTTACAAAGGAAAGGAAGAGTTAGAAGAACAGAAAAGGTGACCAGATGGAGGAAGCTGAACATGGGAGGTGGATATGTCGTCCCTGTCTCCCCCACACACGCATACATTAGAGACAGCACAGGGTGAATGAAACAACCCTTAAGATCTCAGGAGTGTCTGATCTGCAAAGGTGACTTTCTGATGGGAAGATGTTTGAGTGTGCAACAACCAGTGTGCCCTGTGGGAGAGGTTTGCTTAGCATGCAAGCTGGTATATAACAGCTTGAATCTCTTCGTCCTGCAGGGAAGATTTGCATGTTGTTATATTCCCACAAAAAAGGGAAGAAGAGAAGGAAATGGGGAGAGGCCATTTGCCTCCGAGATTATTACTACACATCATTGCTACCTTGTGAACAGCTGAACCTGTTCCAACATCCATCAAATCAATGGAAAGATGATCACTGGCTTCAAGAATCTTAGGACAGTGCCATTGGTTTTATTCCCATTAAGAACTGTGTTTAAAGAATAAATTCTCTGTTGCTCTTCTTCTCTGTGAAGGCACAAATCAGAATCTCTTGACTCTGGAGGACTGTGGTGCTGGTCTTTTCTTTGGGCTACCCCTAACCACCAGGACGATGAGTTTTAGCACCCTGTTGGGAAATGCATCAGCTTTCTTACTCAGTGTTTTTCTGCAACAGTGCTAATATATCTGACCTTTCAATCCACTTAGCTAAATGATAACTTGAATTTTCTAATTACTCCAAGAGGTTTACAAAAAGGGCATAATATGAAGAAAGAACATTGGAGTGTCTCGAATACTGTTCACATCTCTTATTACCAGTAGATATTTTGGCTTGCAGCCTGGGAAATGCCAGTGAGGTGAATGAGTGTGTAACAGTCCAGACACAAAGCAACAAAAGATCAAGGTTTACTCTGGCAAATCTCATATGGAAATGTTATGGTTTGCACAGGGAGCAGCCTAGTCTGGCACACATGGTGCTCTCTGCTACCGCTACCACCCTTGAGAAGAACCGTGCTTGCCTAGGCCTGCAGAACTGCCGTGGTGAATATTTCAAGCTGCGCAGCAGCATGTACCCGAGGCTAGGATCTGCCCATAAATAACCCATCGCAAATAAGCAAAGGAATACTTCCTGGCTTCTTTAAGGACCTCCTGCACTAAGATGTCCCATTATTGCTACAACTTCATTTTCCAGGAAACTGTAAAACTGAAAGCCACTTACATGCCTGATTACATATTTCATTTGATGTCTGCTTGTATCGTAAGACATTAATGTGCTCGATGTTCTCTCTGCCTTGCTATGGTTGGGAACATTTCCTCATCTACATTTTTAGGCAGCGCTTGGCAAGGAGACCAGGCTGCACCACAGTGCTAGTAAGGCAGTGGGTAGAGGCAAAGAGCTAACCCAGGAAGAGTTTCAAGTCCTTGTGTATTTAGTGCTGAAGCTGCACAAAAGGATGCCCCTTATGGAGAAGCGCTCTGCTAAAGGGCTGATTTATATAATGTGAATTATATAAATATATAATATGATTATATAATAATTAAATTATATTTATGTGCATTATATAAATCACTGTGCAGGGTGACGCAGGTCAGGAGCCATCTTATATCTGGAGAAAGAACTTAACTACCAGCTCACAAACTGTGATCACAAAATGAGAGTGGCCAGAAGCTGCTGAATTTCCTTCTGTCCCTGGTCACAAGTCACCTGCTGCAGAGCAAGGATTCTAAGTAACACCAAAGCCACCAGGTCACTTGCACTTTCTTTTTGTGAAAATAGCCAGTTAAGATATTTCCTTTCTTGAAAATACCTGCCCAAGACTTGTAAAGAAGCAGGACAGAACCATCTTGAGTCTAAGCAAAGAAGAAAGTGTTTTACAAGTCACTGCAGGGGAAGACATGAACCTTTAGCTTTTTCAGTCCCCTCAGGGTGCCAGGCCTGGCTTCTCTTAAGAGATGATTCTATAGCTTTCCTTTCAGTTTTGTGTAAGAAAACCACCCTCACCCCCTAACAGTCAATTTGCAGACAGTCATTGTGGCCACAAATACACACAACTGTAGCAAAGCCATTTCCTGCAAATGCTCCAAGAGGCAGACTTAACCCATAGTGCATCAGGCAATTTTCACAGGCAATTAAGCAATTTTAATACTGTAGGAAATCAAATCTGGTTAGCTAATAGAATGGAGCTGGTTCCTGGCATTTTTCCTAAGAGCAATAGCTTTTCACTTTATCTACCCTTGCATCTTTAATGGTGTATTAAGACTCATTTATGGTTTCGGGCTGTATTTAGTAAAATTTAGTTGAGTCTTAGAAAACTCTGAAGTACTTCTAAGAGTAACCAACTTCAGTTCATTAAACAGCTATAGTGTAATTTACAACAGGAGAGCTCAGCTCTTCACATTTACCTGACAGTCATTCTCCTTGGAGCCATCCCAACTACAGCACCTATCAGAAAGCTATTCTTAAAAGAAAGGACAGATGCATCAAATCACCTCCAGTTCTGGTGTGCTGTGAAGTTTGAGATCTACAGCTATGAGCTTAGCTCATTAAGACTTTGAGGTTTTGTGTAGTGCTTGACTGAAATTCTCATGTGTTAAGTGTTGGTGTATGTTACAAATCCTGGTGTATGGCAAACTCCCTATATGACTGCAATATCTGCCTCTTACCCCATACGGGATCTTCAGGGCAAAGCTGGTACAATACTATCCTCAGCTATGGGACTGAAATTAGATTTTAAAGTTAGTTAAAACACATGGCCAAAACTCAGCACTGTTTTTTTGAGAAATATGGTTTTTTGGAGCCTCTGACTGAAACCGTAAAGGCAAATTCAAAATAAATCTCCAGTTTCCATTTCCTGCTTTGGAAAACTTGGTTTTGAAAAGAAACCCCATTAAATTTCACCCTGTATTATTTTCATATGATTTCAAAGCCAGATAACCTGTCACAGTCAGAGCTTCCACAACAGCCAACTTCCCTTTCTGACATTTCTTTAAAGCTTGGGACAAATCTGCATTCTTGGAATTTCCATCAAAATTGCTTGGAACTCACAGAGACATGCATCTACTTTTCAACTTTTATCTGCTCACATAAAGACTGCTTCTAGAAGCTTTCCAGTCAGCTGCAGTGATTAGATGCCTAAAGATCCAGGGAAGCAGAGACAGAATATAAAGGCACAGAACAATCTGTGTTACTGTTTTGAAGATTCAAAGGCTGCTATTGCTGCAGGTGGGAGAGTGTATAACAACTGCTCTTCTTTCACAGCACTAATGAATACGAAGGAGCTCCTACAACCTTCATTTTCAAATACGGTAACAGAGCATAACTTCAATTTCCTTATAACTTCTACAAGATGAGGAAAAGACGCTCTTGCTCCAGGAGGAGAACAGCTATATAAAGCACCAAGATTTGTTATTGCAGAAATGCTCTGTGCTCATGTGGCTCAGGCTCTCCCATCATGAAAGCCATTACGATCCAATTAGTACACAGTGCTCAGTGGTTTTCATGCTTAAAATCAGCTATAAAGTCATAGTATATTTGCCTTTATGTTTTAATTCTGTATTGATTTTGTTTGTGCTGCACCACCAAGGTCAGTAGGGGGAGCTCACCTTTTATCTGTCAGGGTTCGGTTTGCTTTTAAGCGAATATCAAAGCAGGGAGATTATCAAAAAGACAACAGAAATCTTAAAATAGAAGGAACAGGTCATACTTAATTAGATCCTGTTAACCATACCAAGAGCATGGCCTGCAAACACGTCTGACTGTGGAACAGCCTGCACAGCATATTAGAAACAACAGCTCCACTCAAACCTCTATTACAAGTGCCAGAAAGCATTTACTGGATCAGTACAATAAATTCAGTACAGCAAAAATAGTCATTGACTCCACTGAGCAAACAGTAATGGATCCCACACTGACCCTGCTGAAATCAATGGGAATTAAGCTTTTAAGTGGTGATGTGGCTGCTCTCAGAATCTCTGAGCAGTGTCACTTCTTGGGCTATACTGGCTTTGACTAGGTAAGAGGGTACAGGTGTTACTTCATGGCAATTGCTCTCCAGACAGATGCAGTTATTAGAAATAAAGCCATGCAGTGAGCAGACAGAGAGGGCAGCTTCAGCAGGAGTAAAACGTTCATATCCTGGCACTCCAATGAAATTGCTGCAAAGCTTTAACTTTGATGGCAGAGCCTGTCCCTGGCTCTGTCAGAGCCTAATTGCGTGGGGAAAGCAGGCTAGACAGCAGGACTCAGCACAGATGCTGAGGCAAAGTTCTTTAATCCACAAAGGACCAGCAAAAAGAAGCAAAGCTTTGCATAATTAGAAAGCACCCTGCCTATCCAGTATTCCACCCCACAGACACAATGGGAATGTGTTCCTCCAATACATTTCTCCCCTCTAACATAGATATCTCTGCTTACTTAAGTCTTCTCCCATCACTTCCAAAGGTTCCCCACTGATAGCGAGACTCCTCATCACAACCTTCCCCACAGCTCCTGCTACTCAGCAGTTGAAGAAGATTAATTGGCTTTTCCACCTGATAGTCCCAGCAGCTGCTGTGGAGGTACATGACTCATATGTCATGAAGTTTATCCAGCTCAGAAGCTCTGAGGAGGAGACAAGACTTGATGTCCACTTGTGAAGGAACACAATGCTTTTCATTTGTACCATACGGGACTGAACAATGCCCTGCTCTATGGAGGAGAAAGACTAAGCTGCAGATTTCACATCCAGGACTTGGGGTTCCTCCTTGCAGTGAGAACTGCTACCAACAGAGCAGACACTGAACACTCCAATGCTTGTGATTTTTTAAGGTTCTGACATTTAGGTTTTCACTAAGACCCATACTTGGATCTGAAATGCTCAAGTGACATCATGAGAGGTCAATTCTTCACCACTGAGATTTGAATCGACTGTTCTAGATGCTTCAAACCTCACAGTTAAAGAAATTCAAGGCACTGAACTACCAAAACCCCCATGATACTATATCACATCTGTGCAGCAAAAAATCTCTTCAGCATATTATAAAGACAAGCATCTATGAAACAAATTAATTTGAAGTCTCATAAATGAGAAATATGGTGAGGCATTAGGATAGTAAAGCATGAGTCTGAACAATTGGCTTCCAGTACTATGAATAACACAGCTTCATATTCCATTACTAGAAAAAAAAACACTGGACTTATAGTAGATCTCATTTTGCTCTATTAATCTGATTGCCCCAAGCAACCGCAATAGGCTGAGATGTCAAAGAATCATATTTACAATCTGTTGCTGCCAAGACAAATTGCTTTTGTTTGATAATACGCCTGTTGCTACCCCTGGGACGTGGCTGCACTGTAAAGTGAGAGGTACCAACACGGTGGAGGCTTTCTATTGTGAAAGGCCGCCATATCCTTTCCGAACTTTAATGCAACCAACTTCATTTTAGCTGGCAGCTAAAGATCAATAAAACTGGCATGCAGAGAGGTAAGCACAGAACCACTTCTTCTAAAGGGGTGCTCAGAAAGCATGCCTAACAGTGTCTTATCAGAATCAGATACAACTGTTCCTGTGATGACACACGCTTGGCACTGACACTGTAAGTGCTGACAATGCTAATGATGTGCTAAGAGAGCTCGAGGTGATGCTGCAGAACGGGACGGTTTCTCTCTTATCCACTTACATATACATACTAATAATCATCAAGCATTTGATGCCTACAGTATGTTCCATATAAGGCCTTTAAGCTATTCACAATCATGGGGTACAAGGTACTGCAGAGAGTTTGATTCAGTCATAACTTTGCAGGACTAGACTTTAGGATATGACTACATGAATCAGTTTGCACAAGGTGAGAAAGGATGAGGACTCTTAAGGCTCCTTCACTGGGGATACTGGCACAGAGATGTTCTTCTGGGTCACGTCCATCCCTTCCTGATCGTATTTTGTGCACTTGTGCAGACTGTGAATCACAGAGGATTACCAGATGATTTACAGAGCTAGTGTTTTATTTAACCCAGAACTCAGTTTGCTACATGAGTAGGAAGTGTCTGAACAGTAACATATAAACTTTCCTTCTGGGCTTTCTATTGCCTTCTCCTCCAACACATCAGTGTCACCTTGGAAGGTGTCTCCATGAACATGGACTGGGAGCACCTTCTCACTGTAATTTTACATAATTATACACTTCAGTCCTTGGCTGCCATAAACTTTAATTAAAATTGCTGTGGTGTTATGTTCTTGCATTATTATGGCTTCATAATCATCTCACATTGTAGATGACTTTCCAGAGGCTTCCCCTGGAATCACACTATCATCACTGTGACATTCTCCCTGTCCCTGAAGTAAAGGCTCTGGGCTGTGACAGCACTTCGGCATTTTACTAAGGACATACTACGTGTCTGGAAAAGGACAGGCTGCATTGTTTTGCTCTGGGAAACTAGAAAAGTAATCAGCAGAAAAACAGCTAAAGTCCCTCTTCACTGCTTGCTTCATTACGCTTTGGGCTAAGCTGTTAAGCTTAAAAATGTCCACGTCTTCTGTCAAGGACTCTGTTTCCTTTCAAAGGAGATGGTTTGATCCACCTCATCTCTATCTGCAGGGCTTGCAGAGCCAACCTGTAATTAACCTTCTTCACTCCAATACATGTCTGCAAGTACTTCAAAAACATGACTCAACTATACCTTGCAGATACCTCAAGAAGAGTATAACAGTCTTCAATTCCCTATTAGAGAAACTAAAGCCTCAGGGCTCTGTAACTTCCTTTGGTAAATCAACAGCAGAACCAGATGAGAACCCGGACATACCAGACTTTGGCACTAGCTGCTAACCAAAAAGCTTCTCTTTCTTCAGCTACATTTAAATCACATTTGTTCTGAAGAAACAAATGGTAAACCAAGACTCAACAATGAAACAATGCTGCAGGAACTCCAGCACTGCTCACCAATGACACATGAGATACACAGAAAGAAAAATACACTGGCTCTGTTCCCAGAGTTACCCTACAAATAACCACAGTCAAAAGAGAGGATGTCTTTGATCATCACATTTTCTGCAACCAGAGAAACATGACTGGAACTGAAGTGGATTATTTTTAAGAAATATGTACATACCTTTGATAGCAAAAACTCCGTGACAGAAGTCCTTGAAATTGATTCTTCCCAAATCATTTGGGTCCAAGTACTTCGCCAGTTTTTCCACCTAAAGGAAAAGATCATAAAATACGTGTTGAGCTTGGTGTATCATCTGGTGCTCAGTTGGTCTGTACCTTCTACAGAAGACCCCAAATGGAAGAACACCTGTAACATTCACTTGAATCAGCTAACAAATCCTTCTGCAAAGAGAAATCACAATTTACAGTTGCATCACCTGGTGCTGAGTAAGGTGAATGCTCTGACCAAAATTTCTGCAGATGGGACATATTAATACTCTTTTTTGTGGATCTCAAGAACTTAACAAGGAGGGAATCTGTGACCCAGCCTCTCATCTTAAAGTACAGAATCTCCTTCCCTAGGAGCCCTTCCTGTGTATGCAGCTCATAGGAACTTCAAACCTTAGTGATCTCCATCCCCCTCATCGAAAGTTATTGGGAAAGGAGAAAGGACAAAAACGTGCACAACCCACAGGAGCCTCATTCCCTGAAGAATCCAGACTAGAGAACACTCCCTGGGCACTTGGGATCAAACAAACCTTCCTTGCCACAGCACAGAATACGAGGTTTATACAGGGAATTAGAAATTAACAGCACAAAAAGCTTCGTGTGATAAGACAGAGAATGGTTCTGTTCAGTACATTATGCAAACAAGCAATGTACTTATTGCTTATCATTTCAGCTTCACAGTTTAGCCTTTCTGATCAACTACTTACCATAAATGAGATTACACTGAATTTAAACACAGGCACCAAACTGGCATTTGCCCTGAAGAAGGTCTGGCAGATTTTTTGGGGGAGTTTTGGGGAAGGGAGAGTAAAGCAGTCTCGACTGGAGAGGCTGTTGTGTGTTGTGCTGTCTAGAATAAAGGGATAGAGAAACAAGTAGCTGAAGAATAAGGAGAGAGGCAGAACAGTCCAGGAGGCGGGCACAGTGCTGGTGCACTCCAGCTGGCTGCTCTCTGTGACAAATACACTGCATGACACTGTGTAAGTCCCCTTGTGTCCCTGTGCCTTTGCCTGATGCATGTAGCAGGTACCCACACTGAGGCAGAGGCAGCCTCTTGCTCCTCATAAGCTACAGCACAACTCTGACCTTGATCCGGGCCCTCCAGGCACCCCGGAGTATAAACAAGATGACTGCAGGAGGCAGGCACGTAGGATGCTGCACAATCCTGGTGACTACAATGTGAGCTCAGATCTGTCAGTCTGAGCAGCAACAAAAGCCCAGCTGGAAAGATATGCAGCAAATGAATCCAGATGACCCAGTTTCTCAATTTTCTGGTGTGGTTTTTTCACACTCTAGCAAACCCCCAGCAGTTTCTTAAAGCCCTGCAGATAATGCACTAATGTCTGCTCATGACACTTCTTCCCTCAGATTCTCTCAGTGCTTATAAATTCCCCCTGTGCCAACAAAATGCCATGATCAGCCAAAGGCCTTATCTGGAATGAGCAAATCTGGATGACAAAATGACAGGATTTTTACTCACACACACAATTCTGTGTTGAACGAGAGAGGAATAATTTGATCCTTATACTGAATGCTTTCCCCTCTCCTTTTCGTAGGAACAACAAAATCAGCTCATGTATGCAGGGCAAATGAGGAGCTGTGGGGTGAGAGTAGAGCCCATGACAAGTTAGAAATATGGAAACTTTCTTATTGCAGAAGGCTTCAACAGCTCAAGTCCTGCAAGCCGGGCAGCAGAGCCCAGATGTCAGCTATCATGAGACTCAGGATCAAATTCTACATCTGGTATCACAAGGGATTACTGCAGCCCCACTAATTTATAGCAGCAGAAGCCATGTTTCTGTTTCACAAGACACAGCCACTCTACCAAAGACTGTAGTGTGCATTTAATGCACACAGACTAGCTGAAAATCCTTACTGAAACCAATTAAATAGAGACATGCTTGATACGGAAAAGCTGGGTCAGTGTTATCCCTGCTCACCTTCACTAACAGATATGTTACAGGAAGATGAAGCAGAGGTGGCAGAAATGCTTTTGTTCAAACTGGTTTTGGGTGTATTTAAAGCCATATAATCAAGCTGGCCACTGAGGCTGGAAGCAGCAAGATTTTACAGCTGAAAAATGTCCTTACTAAGAATGTATAGTAGCTTAAATACATGGCAGACGTGTCACCTCATGTAACTCAGCCTGGCTCCAGAGGCTTTGGTGAAGACCTTGGAGTGGCCACTAGCTGAGCAGCCATCCCCTCATGGATACTGTAATCAGGCACTGTAATCTCTGTTACAAGATCAGCCTGTAACTCTCTGACAAACAGCAAGCTCCCTTCATTGTCATGTAAGCAAATACTATTTCAGATGCTTGCAGGGTTGTCTTAAAGAACCCCATTTCCTGTAGGTCTTTTGCTAAAAGGCAACAAATTGTGTTTCAGGTTTTAATGCACAGATTCCTGCAGTCAGATAGGAAGCCTCTACACTATTTAATATTGTGCTCTAACACAGTAGTGTCACTGGGTGCTCCCAGTGAACCTGGCACATTGAGTTTATTTCTCAAAGGTGATGCAAGGATTTCAGTTTACCAGGTGCTCAGCCACATATAATTACATTTAAAAAAATCAAATTAAATCAGATGTTATATGCCTGAGGGTATGTATTAGGGAGGAAGAGAGAATATGTTCACATTGAGGTATAAGCAACGTCTTAACAGTAAATGAAATTATCACCTGAGCAAAGTGCTTCAGCCTCCAGTTTCCTCTAAATCTAATTTTGCAGGTTTTCAATTAGATTTTAGAATGCAAATAACTGACATCAGTGCAGGACATGAGGATTTACAGAACAACCTGATGCAATTAATGACACTAGGGCTCATATCTTCAGCCAGTGCTCCCAGCCCAGGTCATGGGCTACAATGATTTTGATCAACTAGATAGGTTTAGGTGGACACTTGCATAGAGTTTGTGCATTGATATACACACATGGATTGTAAATAATATATTTGCACATATTTGCACAGTTTCATGCCTGTAGTGCACTTGGCTATGTATTTTTACCAGGCAAGAAGCTCTTTCAGACCGAAGACATTACTTAAAGTTAAGCTCAATTTCAAGCTGTGGCCAAATAAACTATGTCATCACAGCTACCCCTAAATCTTCTCTCCTGTCTATACTGTCAACCATCCTTCTGCTCCACTTTGTAATGTCCTACCCTCCTCCTTCTCAGAAAGGGTTGACTCTCAGGAATTAATCAGAATTTGTAACATTTATTTATTGCCTTGGAGAATGTTAAGGGCTTGTCAGCCTCAGTGCCAGGCAGTCAGCAGCCCTGGGCTTGCAGCTCTGGCAGCCTGCTAGCACATGAGGAAGCAGCAGCCTTTCAGCCCCATCAATGCATATAAGAGCTCAATATTATAAGCCATCACAATGACCTAGAGACAGTGCTTTGGGCTAGGGATAAACGCTTCTCCCTTCATTGGTGCACAGAGCAGTCCCCCACCATGTGGGACAGCACAAACAGGATCTGGATTACACACCAGTTCTTTATTGTAGGACAGAAAAAGTTAGCTGCAGGCTCAATAATCAAGGTGGTTCTTTTGGCAGCTGCAAGGGACTCACTCCTGAATCCTTCAGTAGACACCCAGTAGTCCCAGAGAGAAGACATAAATCATTTTTGCTTTGAGAAACAATCAGAGAAAACCAAACCCTGTGTCTATTGTTTAACGTGCTTGGATGAACAGATGTTTATCCTTTCAATGGAAGCATATTTCTCCATTGTAATAACAGGTCACTTCAGCCAAAGCATCTGCCTTCTCTCTGTTGGGCTTCCCAGCTATAAGGCTGCGCTGCAAAGAGGTGTTTCTGACACACAGAAGTAGGCTAGGAACACTTTAAAGAGTCTCTACAGTGAAAAGAAAGAGACAAAGTTCAGTGCAAAGAAACAATTTTGAAATCAAAACTGATCAATGCAGACATGCACATGAATGAGCAGGAATTAGGAGTACAAAACAGTGGACAACAAAGTGAGGCAGTGTGAAAGGTCCCCTCCTACCTCCTCCATCCACATGAGAGCACAGCTGTGTAAGCAGTACCTCGGAGCACGACCATACGCTCTACAGGACCAGGCATCTGAATGACTGTTAGGAGAAGGGAAAGTATTTTTGTGGCAGAGGGAGTGCAGAAAGAGGAGGGAAGAGGCCAGTGACTGGCAAACCTTGGAAGAGATTTATTGAAACTGATCTTTTCTTGCAAGGGAGCTCAATCCAGGGGTACCTCTCAGCCAAGGAACCCTCTCAGGATCCTGGCCATCGCTTGTGCTGATGCTGCCAAAAGAATTAGGTATTTTTTAATAGTAAAGATTTTCTGACTGGACCTGAATCCTGCTCCCATTTCCAGGCAAGGAGAAACTCAGATTTCTACTGACCTCACTTAATTTTCTTCAAAAACTGACCAGCACTGAAGAGATCTTGTTAACACAAAACAGACCCGTTAGATCTGGATGTAGTTCAGTTCTGAGGGACCCCACACTGGCTCCTCATGCTGCAATCTTACAGCAGGATCCATGTCACAGCCAGAAGATGCCATTTGAAATAAACAACTCGTCTCAGCAGTTCACCTTCATACTGCAGGAGTCTGTGAGCACGTCTCACCCTGAAGTGCAAGCAGGGAACATCTGGGATCTGTGAGGACGGCAAGACAAGAACTTGCAGGAAAGGTGCTGGTGTGCTGCAGCAGCGATGTTTGCACAGGATCTCCTGAAGCAGACGCATTTGTGAGAAACCTCAAAAAACAGCAAGAGGAGATTAAATATGTTAATGCTGCAGGGTGGAATTAGAGATGTGCCATATGAGAGATGCACAGGCTAATGGGTGCTCAGGAGACCTATTAGTGTGGGATACCAGTGTCTCTGTTGGAATTTGGTAGGATTAGTCCTTCTCTGAAGCTATTTGGTGTTTGCATGCACAGACTGGAAGCAAATATAAAACCATGATGATGACATTTGCAGATGACAGGTTGATAAATAACAACAATGCCGACAGTCTCACACTCCTCTGAATAGCTTTGCAAGTGAAGCCCATACAGACAGAATATGT